AGAAGGCATGCACAAATGTGTTAAAGCTCTCTGAATAGCAGTGCAGCACAGGGCCATTCCAGGTTTATAGCGAAGTACAATGTGAGGGCAGCAAGATTGAGGGCAGCATAATTTCCTGATGGCTCAGATGGGAAGAGAGTATGACAAAGTGAGGATATGGCAATAACCAATTGTGCACTTCATCCAAAGAAGTCATTTTCAAACTCCTCCTGCTCTGCCTCAATTGTATTCCTATACCAGAAGGACCAGTCATCTCTGAAGGTAGCACTTGTTTGAAGAGGCTAAAGAGCTATCCAACTTACCTTGAGAATTATAAACTGAAAGCTTTGGGAAGGACAATAACAGCTACCCCTGTCAATCTTGAATATGTGTATATTTAAAATGCATCCACTACTATGGTACACATCTTGGCAAAAGGCAATTAGGACAGTCAGCTACTCAAATACGCTTGTTCTGCATTATTGCACTGAAACATTGCCCTGGTGGTATATTCTACCTTCTACAGTTCACTGGAAAGTTATTTTTTCTTGAACTGCTGCACATTGCTGCGGAAGAAGCTGTTGTGTAATTACTGTAGTTCCCTTATAATCAGACTTGTGCCAAAACATGGAATTCTTCTTATTCAAACTGTATTTGAATATATAATTAAATTGCTGCACATTTTGGGTGACTCCAAAAATATGTTACTTTCCATGAATATTAATACTTAATGCACTTTACTAAATTGGCATTGACGGAATTTAATTTAGTTTTCTTCATATAACTGGATATGGTCTGTAACAGTCCTCTCCAACTGGGAAATGGTTGGGATTCTAAACATTGTTGTCCCAACACACCACATATTTAGAGGGAGCCAAGCTGGAAAAGGCTGGCCTTGTGGCCTGTATTTATACAGAGTAATTATTGTGAGTTTGATCTCTGTTTATTCCGCGGGTAGATATGGTGGCCCAGAATCTCAGTTAGAATTTTGGGAGAGAACTTAGAGCCTCAGAGTGAATGGAACCACATCATTCATATGGGATTTGGGGAATAACATTTGTTTTTAGAGTTTATAAATTAGTTTTCTGATGTTTCTCACCAAAAAATGAGAGTGGGAAATGGGACCTTCTGTTTTAGCAATCATGGTCAAAGGGCTATTCACCAGGAACATGGGACCGCACACCGCCCAGCTTTACTCCACAGTTTAACCTGAGCAATAGTTTAACGAAGAGAAGGACGAGGGGGGACATGATAGCAGTGTTCCAATATCTCAGGGGCTGCCACAAAGAAGAGGGAGTCAAGCTATTCTCCAAGGCGCCTGAAGGCAGGACGAGAAGCAATGGGTGGAAACTGATCAAGGAGAGAAGCAACTTAGATCTAAGGAGAAACTTCCTGACAGTTAGAACAATTAACCAATGGAACAACCTGCCTCCAGAAGTGGTGAATGCTCCAACACTGGAAGTTTTTAAGAAGAGACTGGACAGCCGTTTCTCTGAAATGGTGTAGGGTTCCTGCCTGGGCAGGGGGTTGGACTCGATGACCTCCAAGGTCCCTTCCAACTTTATTATTATTATTATTATTATTATTATTATTATTATTATTATTATTATTATTATTATTATTATTATTATTATTACTACTACTACTATTATTATTATTAATAATAATAATACTCATGGGACTTATTTGTAGATAATATAGTGCAGTCATTTTCTACTGCTCTGTGATTTTTGTTATTGTCTTTCTTTTTCCTTCTCTTTTAATGCATGTTTGCTCAATGGATGGTATTTCTTTGCCTTTGTTTTCTCCCCCTTCCCCCCACCCCACGCTGTCTGAAGCACCGTATATTATTCAGGCTGTATCTCCATTTCTTGTTTTCAGCTCAATGTGCTACCCCGAGCCCTCCCACTTCCCCAGCTTCCCTGACTCCACCGACCAAGTCCCTCTCGTCTGACTCATCCCAGAGCACCGACAGTCATTTTATGCGTGTCTGAACCTTAAAGTAAGCACTTTTTGTCTTATGCTTCCATCTCATTCATGTGTATCTGTGAAGAAAAGAAGTGGTAAGCTTCTTTTTCAACAGAGTTTCATATTTTCACTAAGCCCACCCATCCACCAATCTCCATTAAGCTGACCCTTTCTTCTTTGCCACATAAACCCACTCTCCTCCTATGGAATGCTTGAAAAATGCCACACACACTTTTCTGGATTTACTAGGACAAAGTAGCCTAATTTCATCAGTTGTTTCACTTACATCAATTTAGAGCAACCTTACAGCAAGTATTCTAAACTGAACATAGTGCTGTAACTTAGAGAAAATTAGCTGTTGCCAAGAAGCCCTACTTTGCATCTCATTTCAATCATAAGCTCTCTAGGACAAGGCTTTTCAACCTTTTCACCCATTGTACCATTTTTAGAATATGGCAACATCCGAGTACCACCAGTCACCTAGCAAGGTGTCAAAAACCTGATGATAAAAAAAAAGGAAAAAAGTGATGAAGTACAGGTAGTCCTCGACTTACAACAGTTCACTTAATGACTGTTCGAAGTTACAGTGACACTGAAAAAAGAGCCTGCCGAGCAAGACACCTGCCTGCCCGCCCAGCCGCGCTCTTCCTCCTGTTCGAGGTTTTCATTGTTGTGAGCATTTCTGTTGAGGATTGGCAGTGGGGGTGGGGTGGGAGGGTGTTTGGTTTTTATTCCCCCCATCTGCTAGGTGGTTGCAGCAGGTTTTAGGCACTTCACATGACCCTGGACACTGTGACCGTCATAAATATGAATCAGTTGCCAAGCATCTGAATGTAAATCACAAGACCCTGGAGATGCTGCAACATTCCAGCTGATCGGTGCTTCTTCTGGGCTCAGCAGAAGCACTAGGATCAGGGCCGAGCTCCAGGTGGAGCCTGGCGCTGATCCTGGCGCTGATCCTGCCATCCTGACAGTCGTAAGAGGGATATTTCAAGTATGAGTTCACAGGATAATACTGTCAGTCCAGCTATCTTCTTTGATTGGTAATGTGGAAGACAGTTGTTGAAGCATCCAAAACAGACTTTGGCCCATAGAACTCCAGTTCCATTGAAGAGATAACAGGAGTTTAATTTACAGTCATTTTCCCAAGGGCCAGTAAACATTTCTATTGCGGTCAGAATAGTAAGAACAGAATACTGCTCTGGTGATTCTTTTCTGTCACAAAGCTTTAAACAGAGATATAACCAATTGAGATGAGTAAACTGAGGTAGGCTTTGAAGGGTAGGTTTCTGCCCTGGCATTTTCTACCATTTTTATTTTTAAAGGTTCAGCGAAACTAAAAGATTACCCTCAGTAACCACCAAAAGGAATTCACTGGGGAAAAAATGCATTATTTTCCCCATCAGTTTTTCCAAAGGAAGGGCAAGTGCTTGTTTGCCAGCTTTAGCATTCATCCACAGAGGTGGTCTCAAGTTTTTTTCAGGCCTCTGGACCATTAAAAGTATTATTCTCACCTTTCCACTTAACTGCTAGACTTCTGTCTTCTGGTTAATATGGCTGATTTGGGAGTGACACTGGCAGAGTGGAAGAGATGTAACCAGCGGTGGTGGCAGCACTTCCTTCAAACGCTGCCTTATTCCTTCTGTGCCATGCTACTGTTCTACTGGGGCACCAAACTTGAGCTACCAATCTGGACTGACAAAGCTGAGTGACCATTTAACATGTCATCACATTCTTTACTTATGTGTCCCAAAGTACTTTAGCTATATTTATACTGCTGTCAGCAGGTTTCATCTTCAGTGATTATCGCTAATTTTTTTTTTTTATCTCTTCTCTTCTTCCTCTGTTCTCCCCAGCACAAGCCCTGGCTGCTGTGAATGCTGTGAAGTTCCATGGAGCCACATTTTAACACATGAATTTGTCCTCTCAACTCTACTGCTTAATAATGTACATAACCATTCCTATGGTTTGCCTACTATCTCCTGCGGTTGAGCTGCAGAAACATTCAGGAAGGAAAATTGCCTCTGAAGAAAACAAGTGTGCTTTGTCTTTGCTCTGGTTCTCCTCCCACTGCTGCCAAAGCTTGTACCAAAACCTCTCAGATGCCTGATCTATAAAAGCAATTAAAGAAGCAGCATCCAGGAGAAGTTCCATTCTGCGAGATAGCTTCTTCCTCCCTGCAGGAGGTGTCAAGACAAAGGACGGGTGGCTAAAGATCAGCAGAAGCATCAAATAATTTGAACTGAAAAATGAAAGCTGGTGATAGCAGGGGAATGTACAATTTCCTATCCTTAGGTAGCCATTTCCTAAATTTCTAACCTCCTTCATTACTTGTTTTTATTTTACTTTTTTTTTTTACTTTGAGGGAGGAGAAGTATATAAAGAATTGATTGTCATGGCAGCCAGAGACTTTATAACCACTTTATTGAATTGAATGACATATTTTTCCTCCTCACACTTTGTTCCCATCTGCCAATCTGATTGGCTGTAGAAACTTTAATCTATGGAATTAAGCAACCCATGCATGGTCATGCTGCTTATACTTATATCTACCCACTCACAAGAAGAGAAAGAAGGAAGCATCACTGAACCTTGTGGATATGGCAGATAAAGAAAACAGAAGGCTGTCAGTGTGGAGGGGGAAAAAACAGAAGCAGCTTTGAAATCTGCTAATTCTTAGGAATCTTGTAATGGCTGTGATATGCTGAAGAGTTCCCTCCCCTTCACTTTTCCTAAGTTTATGAGAAAGATGGAATAGGAAGTATGTGCAATGTACGTGGACATGTAATAGAAGTGCGGATGAAAGATACAAAGGGGAAGGATGGCCATAAAAGAGTTCAGTTTGATGGGATAAACCACTTTGTGTGTTGTAAGTTTACTGTGACTCAGAAGTGGGACTGGCAGGTGACATATTTATTCTCATATCAGAACCAATTCAAAATAGTGCCACTCAACTCTTGGTTCTCTAGGATATATGTTGGAGCCAGAAAGAAAGTATATGCTATGAAGATTTCGGCATAAAGAAACTAATGAAATAGTAAGTCTGCAAGAGAAATGGAAATGTGTTTGAACTTAACTAAAGCAAGCTATGAGCTGATTCCATAGTATGTATAAATCAATTCTCTCCTATGTATCATTGGAAGGAGAAAGTGAGGCTTTTTCAATTTCTGCCATTTGTAGCATTTCTCTCAACTTTAGAATAATAGAGCAACATTTACTTTGAAGTAGAATTCTCTCACTATCTCACACAGAGTGCATTTCATTCATCTCTGTCCAAGCTAGAGCTATAATAACAATGGCTTATGATCATGAACTTTCAGAGGAACTAAGCTCCTATGTCAAGAGAGCAAGACCTTTGCTGTATTTTCTTCTATCAGCATCTGAAAGTTGGCAGCTTTCCCAAATGAGTCCTAAGTTTTTTCTAAACAAGTTGTGAAAATAATTCAGAAGGACAGGACAGGGGAGAGTTACTGTACAAAAAAGGACTTAGGAAATTTACTCTTGTGAAGTACAGTAAGTACCAAGTTGTCCTAACTTATATTAAGCTAGATCAAAGATCTAATTTGGACCTTTTCCACACTGCAGTTGTACACTCAAAGATTTATACATGGTAAATCCTGAACTGAATACCACTTAAAGCTAAGGTGATCTTACCTGTTTAGAAATACAGTAATCAGACTTTGCATTAAACCTTGTAACACTTCATAATCAGAATCCCTTACTGTTGAACTTGGGAACGGACAGGACCTGTCACCCAACGTAGTGCTTTTGAAAACAATCTGTCTTATTAATAGATGAATCAAAATATAATTGGATGATCACGTGGCTCATAAATTTATTTCAAAGGCTATCAATTGATCATGCCCAATATAAAGCCAACTAGAGTCGATTTTATGGAAGCAAATAAAATTGTTCTAGATCAGAATACAAAAAAATCAGCTAGCTTCTTTATAACCCAGACCTAGATATTCAATGAGTTCACTGCCATGTTTTCAAAAATTCTGCATTTCTTCCCCATCCCCCAATATTTTGCTTCTTCGCAAGTACAGATAGTCCTCGACTTATGGCCACAATTGAACCCAAAATTTATGTTGCTACATTTGTTAAGTGAGTTTTGCCCCATTCTACAACCTTTCTTGCCACAGTTGCTAAGTAAATCACTTCAGTTGTTAAATTAGTAACTTGGTTGTTAAGTAAAACTGGCTTCCCCATTGACTTTGCTTGTCAGAAGGTCACAAAAGGGGATCACATGATCCTGGGACATTGCAACTGTCATAAATATGAGTCAGTTGCCAATTGTCTGTATTTTGACCCCAGGCCATGGGGATGCTGCAGTGGTCGTTAAGTGTGAAAAATGGTCATAAGTTACTTTTTTCAGTGACGTTGTAAAAGGAGAAGGAAACACAATAAAAAAATATCACACAGCAGTAGAAAATGGCTGTACTACAGTACCTACAAATAGATCCCATGAGTACAGCTAGTCGTTGACTTATGACCACAATTGATCCCCAAATTTCTGTTGCTAAATGAGACATTTGTTGAGTGAGTTTTGCCCCATCTTACGACCTTTCTTGCCAAAGTTGTTGCAGTTCTTAAGTTAGCAATATGGTTGTTAAGTGAATCTGATTTCCCCATTGACTTTGTTTGTCAGAAGATTGCAAAAGAGGTTCACATGACCTTGGGATACTGCAACCATCATAAATATGAGTCAGTTGTCAAGTGTCTGAATTTGGATCACGTGACCCATGGGGCTGCTGCAATTCTTTACCATGATGCATGAAAAACTAGTTTGGATCCCAGCTGAAACAGAAAACGCTCGCTTTGAACAGCACTGTTCCTTATGTTCAAACGTCTTCAAATAGTCTTGAAAACTCTCACAATTTTCCCAGGCTATCAAGAAGTCTAATTCTTTCATGACTTTTTAGGGATAACTTTAATATCCAAGTACCTACTTTAATCAATAGATGACATACATTATCAATGCACATAAGTCTTTCAAATTCAAGTTTAAATAGGTATGAAATGTGATT